GTGTGTGAGACAGTGTGTGAGAGAGTGTGTGCGACAGTGTTTAAGAGTGTGTGTGACAGTGTGTGTGACAGTGTGTGTGAGAGAGTGTGTGAGAGAGTGTGTGTGACAGTGTTTAAGAGTGTGTGTGAGAGAGTGTGTGAGAGAGTGTGTGCAACAGTGTTTAAGAGAGTGTGTGAGAGAGTGTGTGAGAGAGTGTGTGAAACAGTGTTTAAGAGAGTGTGTGAGACAGTGTGTGGGAGAGTATGTGAGAGAGAGATGGACAGTGTGTGTGAGAAAGAGTGAGAGATATTGTGTGTGTGAGAGAGTGTGAGAGAGAGTGTGTGTGTGAGAGAGTGTGAGACAGTGTGTGAGAGATTGTGTGAGTGTGTGAGACAGTGTGTGAGAGTGTGAGCGAGAGAGATAGATAGTTTGTGTGAGAGAGAGTGAGAGATATTGTGTGTGTGAGAGTGTGTGTGCATGAGTGTGAAAGAGTGTGTGAAAATGTGAACAAACATCCAAAAACAGAGCAGGAGGAGGAAATTCAGTCCCTCAGACCAGCCCCACACCCACTGAACACTACCGGGCTAGATCGGAAAGATGAACATTCCCACCCTCCCAACCCCACCCCTGGCTTATTAAGAATCTCTGCACCTCAGCTTTGAAAATATTCAAAAACGCTGCTTTCACTCCTTTCTGAGTGGAAAAATTCTCATTTCTGCCTTAAATAAATGACCCTGATTTTTAAACAGGGGCCACCTGATTCTAGGTTTCTGAAGAAGGGTCCAGACCTGAAACGTCAGCTTTCCTGCTTCTCTGATGCTGCTTGGCCTGCTGTGTTCATCCAGCTCTACACCTTGTTATCCTCCCGATTCTAGATCCTCCTACAGAGGAAAACAGGCTCTCCACATGTCCCTGGCCCACTTCCCTCAGTCAGGACCACTCAGGATCTGATACATTTCAATCAGGCTCCCTCTGCCTGATCAAGACCCCAGTGGATCCCAGGCCTGTCTGTCTGACCTTTCCTCACATAATACCCCGCCCTCTTCCTGGAACTGCTCTGGGAAATGTGCTCAGAATTCCTGGAAACATTTACAACATTCCTGGAATAAGGAGGCCAGCTCTGTACGCTGTATTCCAGACATGTCCTCACCAGCTCCCTGTGTAACTGAAACGTAACCTCCCTACTTTTCTCTCTGATAACATTTGTTGAGATTTCCTGATTAACCTGCTGTACCTGCAGACGAACCTTCTGTTACTCCTACGCTCCCTGAACCCATCGATATCAATTTGTGTCCTCCTAACAGCTCACCTTTCTCCCTGTCTTTGTACTATCATCCGATTAAATACCAGACCTTCATGCACACTATTATATAACAGTTCAGTTACAGGAAGGATATTATTAAGCTGGAGAGGGTTCGGAAGAGATTTACCAGCATGTTGCTGGGTATAGAAGGTTTGAGTTGTAAGGAAAGGCTAGATAGGCTGGGACTTTTTTCACTGGAGTGCAGGAGGTTGAGAGGCGATCTTATAGAAGTTTATAAAATCATGAGGGATATAGATGGGATTAATGGTGGTTGTCTTTTCCCTAGGATGGGGGATTTCAGGACGAGGGCGTTCATTTTTAAGGTGAGAGGAAAGAGATTTAGAAAAGACACGAGGGACAAATTTTTTTACACAGGGGGTGGTTCGTGTATGGAATGAGCTTCCTGAGGAAGTGGTGGATGTGGGTACAGTTACAACGTTTAAAAGACATTTGGATAGATATGCGAATAGGAAAAGGATTGGAGGGATATGGGCCAGGAGCAGGCAGGTGGGACTGGTTTAGTTTGGGATTATGGATCAGGATGGACTGGATGGGCCGAAGGGTCTGTTTCCAAGCCGTGTGACTCTATGTAAAGAGTTGAGGCCCCAGCACTGACACCTGTGGCTTGTGACACCCTACCAGCCTGATAAAGACCCATGTGTTCCTGCTCTGTGTTTCCTGTTAACAAACCAATCTTCTATCCCTGTCCATGTGTTAGCCCCTACACAGTCAGCTTCTACTCTTCACAATGACCTTTGATGTGGCACCACAGCAAATGCCTTCAGGATATTGAAGTACGATACATCCACTAGATCCTCTTTATCTACAGCACTAGCTACTTCTTCAAAGAACTCCGATAAATACTTTAAACATTTCCCTGTGGCAAAACCACATTGGATCTACCTGAATACATTGAACTCAGCAAAGTGTCCTGTTATAACGTTTTTAAATAAAGGCTTCGAACATTTCCGCTATGACAGATGCTAGGAGAACTGGCCTGTAGGTTTCTCCGTCCTTTTTGATTCGAGGTGTTACTCTCAATATTTTCCAACAAGACGGAATGTGTCCCAAGTCGATGGAACTTTGGAAAAATTGAAAACAATGCATCTATTATCTCAGATAACAAGGTGCAGAGCTGGATGAACACAGCAGGCCAAGCAGCATCAGAG